CCTGGAGCCCTGGCAGTGCCCAAGGCCAGGCTGGGCATTGGGACAGTGGGCGGTGTCCCTGCCATGGATGGGGTGGCACTGGGTGGCCTTTGAAGTCCCTTCCAACCCAAACCATTCCATGATTCTCAGAGCCTTTTGCCAGGAAAGTCCCTCATGGCTGGAGTTGGATCCTTGCTGGATCCTGGTGCTGCTGAGCTGGGACACAAAGCTGCAGCTGTGCATTCACCATGTGCAGATATTCTAGAGGCCCATTCTGCTGCTTCCCTTCACTTCCCAGAGCCAAGGGCAGGGTACACCTCAGTTTTTGCAGGATGGGCTTTGCCCAGCCCTCGGGAGCTGCTGGCAGCATTCCTGCTCCCTGCTGGATGGGGATGCAGGGATGAACCCTGGGATCAATCAGATCTCCCCAGACCTGTGCCCTGATTAAATATCCCCGAATTGCCATCCTGCATCATTAAACACTGCTGGTGTGCCTTGGGGTGATCCCAGTGCCCCCCAGGCCTCAGGGTAATCTCTGCCTGTTGCTTTGCCACAAATTGGAGAGTTTAGATCCATTTCAGAGTTTTCATGGGCTTTATTCCAACCCCAACTGTTCTCATGCTGCTGCCAAGGGTCAGTCTGGAGCTGCTGCTTCAGGGCTTTGCAGAAACAGCACGAGGGAGAGAGCAGCACAGGAGGGTGGAAGGGAAGTTTGGGAATGGGAGGGTGGGCAAGGAAAACTGGGAAGTAGGAGAGTGTATGAAGGAATCAGCTGGATGGGGTGCAGAGGAAATTGGGGAGCATGGGAAGATGAGGAGCAGGATGGGGTTCGGGAGGAGTTGGGGAGCAGGAAGGGGTGCAGTGGGAAGTTGGGGAGCAGGACATTTTGCAGTGGGAAGATGAGCAGGATGGGGTTCAGGAGAAATTGGGGAGCAGTGAGAAGTTGGGGAGCAGGATAGGTTTCAGTGGGAAGTTGGGGAGCAGAATGGGATTCAGGAGAAATTGGGGAGCAGGACAAGGTGCGAGGGCAAGATGAGGAGCAGGATGGAGTGCGGGAGAAGTTGGGGAGCAGGAAGGGGTGCAGAGGAAATTGAATGCACAGGAAGGGCCACAGAGGAAGTTGGGAAAGAGGAGGGGGTGGTGAAATCTTTCGGGAGGTTGTGCAAGGAGCCACATCTTGCAGGAGGGCACTGAGCTTGTGCTGCTGCTCCCTGGGCTCTCCTGCCTGGGCTGGCAGTGTTTGGGTGCTCCTGTCCTGGCAGGCTGGGGCTGATGGGTGGGCTGGTTTAGAAATCCCATTTTTGGGCAAAAACGCTTCATCCTTCCAACTTTTATTAATAAAGAACAATGAAATAATGGAATGAGAGCAAGAATTCTCCTTCCATGACTTAGCCAGTGTTTTCCAGCCATGGATTTCCACGTTGCTGCCCCTCTGCTCTGACTCCTGCCACGCTCTGTGCCCTGCAGCTGAGGGCTGGCAGTGCTGTTTAACTCCTGCCTCCTGGAGCACTGTGCCCTTTCCATGCAGGAGCAGGCCCAGAAGGGTTTGTGCTGCCCTGCTGAGCACCAGGGAGGTCATTCCCACATTCCCACATTCCCAGGTTTCTCCTGTGTTTTCCCAGGAGAAGAAGAAGAAGAAGAAGCACAAGGCCAGGCCGTCCTCGGAGTCGGACTCGGCCAGCTCGGCCTCGGACAGTGATGGAGCTCAGCCCTCCAGCAAGAGGCCCAGGCACTCCAGGAAAGCCAGCAAGGCTCCCAAGAAGAAGAAGAAGAAGCACAAGAAGTAGCCCTGGGGTGAGCAGGGCAGGCTGGGCTGCTGCCGTGGCTGCTACAGGGACCAGCAGCTCCTGCTTCAAGGACAAGGAGTTGATTTCAAAGGAGTGTGAGGTGTTACAGGTGCTGACCTTGTACGAGCTGTCCTCTGTCCCCTTGGGCACAGGCTGCCCCTTTGTCCCACAGTGCTGCCAGCACAGGCTCGTGACAGCCTGCAGGGCACCTCTGCTGTGCCACAGCCTCGTGTCCTGCTGTCCTGCTGCCAGCTCCTGGGACAGCTGCAGAGCTGGGGGTGGCACAGCCAGGCCCCCACCGTGCTGGGCACAGGTTTGGTGGCAGCACAGCCCCTGGCACAGAGCTCAGGGCTGCAAACCTGCCCCGGCTCCCTCGGCCTCTGCAAACACCAGGAGTGGAGGAGCAAGGAGCACAGGGGGGAGTGGAGATACTGGGAGTAAACATGGACTGTGGAGTGTTTGCTGCCTTGGAAAGGGATGGAAAATAAATCTGCTCTCTGCAGCTGCACTTTGTACCTGCTCCTTTCTTCTGTGCCCTCCACTTCATCTTGGGCAGGGGGAGAACAGTGCTGGCTGTGTGGAGGAGATGGAAAAGGGGTGTTTTGGGAAGTTCTGGCTGCTTCCCCAGGTTCCCTGGGCTGGGAAGGGGGTGTGTGCTGAGGTAACCCATAGGAGAAGCCTTCTGGAGGAGGGAGCATAAATCTTGTAACTGGAGCTGAAGGTCAGGGGAGGGGATGGCAGGGGAGGGTGCCAGGAGCAGCTCAGCCCTGCTGGGACAGATGTGAAGGGGGGAAGCTCCTGCAGGGAGCTGGGACTGGCAGCTGGTGGTGTGGCAGGAGGGGTGGGAGTGCTGATGCAGCCTCCCCTTATCCCTCCCTGTGCTTCCCACCCGGCTCCCCATGGCTGCCTCCCCCTCTGGGGCCATTTCCCTTCCCAAACCCGGACAGGAGCTCAGGAGCTTTGTGCCNGCTGAGCTGGGTGTGCCAGAGCTGGGTGTGCCAGGGCTGAGCTGGGTGTGCCAGAGCTGGGCTGGGTGTGCCAGGGCTGAGCTGGGTGTGCCAGAGCTGGGTGTGCCAGAGCTGGGCTGAGCCCCATCCAGCCTGCCTGGAGGGCACTGGCAGCTCAGGGTGTCCCTGCAGGCACAAACCTGGGCTTTGGGCAGTCCCTGGGCTGGAAACTGAATTTCCTGGTGCCCCCAGTGCTCCATCCCTGTTCTCTGGTGGCCCCAGTGCTCCATCCCCTGCTCACTCAGTTCCCTGGTGAGCCCAGTGCTGATCTCCAGGTGCTGCACTGAAGGAAAGCTCTGGGCCAGGATGCTGCTCCTGCAGTGCAGCAGTGCTGCCTCCTGCTACTGAAAATCATGAAATCTTGCAATGGGTTGGGTTGGAAGGACCTTCAATCCCATCTAATGCCACCCCTGCCATGGGCAGGTGTGGACAGCCTGGTTCAAGCATGGCTTAAAGAAAGAGGCCATGAAAGGATTCAGCTAAAGGAAAAAAGCAGCCTTTCTCAGGCTTGATTCTGTAAATAATTAAGGTTCTCAGCCACCTTTCATATAAACAACAAGATTCTCAGACCGTTCTGTCCTTGGCTGCTACCGGGAGCAGTCAGTCAGTCTGGGAATAGATATGAAGGTTTTGGGAACCTTTGGGAACCTTCCATATCAGGGTGAGAACACTGATCTTGGTTTCAGTAAACTAACTTCAGGTATTGTAAACAAAAGGAGGAACTGAAGTTTTCTCTACAGCCTATCAGGAGCTCAGATTTTGCAATATGCATGAAGTGAATTAACACTGTTATAAAAGGTGCCTGACTGATGAATAAAGTGGAGTGATGCTGATCAATAAGGGTGGATCTCTCCCTCCGACTTCCATAGGCAGGGACACCTCCCACTGTCCCAGGTGCTCCAGAGCCCTTCCAGCCATGGAGCAGACACATTTTTTTCCTCTGGGATGCTCAGCTCTCCTTGTGTCCAGCTGCATTTCCAGCCCAGGCTGTGTTTGCTGTTCTGCCTGCACTTCTGCACTGGAAGAACCTGAGAATCCTGGAATATGCAGGGTTAGAAAAGACACAGGGATCACTTGGTTCAGCTCCTGGCCCTGCACAGGACACCCCAAGAGCCCCACTGTGTGCCAGAAAAGGGATTTGTCTCTCTTGGAGTGATCTTGGCTGTTAGAACCCCCCAAAAGGGGAGAGTGAGGGTTTGTTGATTCTTTCCAGCCAGCACAATGCCCATGTGTGCTTTTTGTCCTGCTCCATCCCCAGGAGTGTGGGTGACATCCTGTCCTGCCTGCAGCCCTCACATCCTGAGAAAGTTTCCCAAGCTCTGGAATGAAACTCTTGCTTGTGAAGGTCCTGTCAGACTTTCTCACCATGTGCACGGGCTGGAGAAGCTTGAGAAAATTCTCCTTGCTGCATCCCCTTCTCTGGAGGGTTTAACCCCTTCCCGTCCTCCTAGACTGGGAGGATTTGATTCTGCCTTTCCTCTGTGGCTCAGGGACTTTGTGCTGAGTCTGTTGTTACCCCTCAGGAAAACAGACCCAGTTTTGGGTGACATTATTTGCTGTTATGGAACTAAAATGTGCCAAAGGTCTGGTGGGTGTGGAGCCACTCCATCCTCTGCTCCCTTCCCTGGAATCCCAGAGGGGTCTGGATGCTCAGCTCTGGGTGTTGTCTTTACTCTCCAGCTCCCTAAAAAAGTTCTGTTTGATTAAAAATCAGCTGCCAGCTCCTTTCCTTTTCCCTCTGGGCCTGATGCTTGGACACCCAGTTCAGTTTGGGCACAAATGCTTAAAATCTGGGTTAGTCAGAGGCCTGAGCTGAGGTTGCTGTGCCACATCCCTCCCTGGGGCTGTCCAGGGCTTTGGTCACCTCAGTGGCCATCTCTGATCCTGAAACCTTCCTTGGCTTCTCTGTCTGAGGCCTCAAACAGGGCAAAAATTCCTGATCAGCCCCTGG